GATGTAGGATATTCCCACTAGGTGCAGAAGACTCTCCTTTCTGTTAGCATCTGAAAAATGCTGTTCCACTTCTGTTCTGGTGTGGATGTGAGGTGGCCCCAAAAGCTCACGTGTGAGACAGTGCAGGAAGGTCCAGAGGAGACATGACTGGGTGGTGAGAGCCTTAACCCAACCAGTGAATGGACCCCTGATGGGATTAACTGGGTGGTGGCTGGAGGCAGGTGGGTGTGGCTGGAGGAGGGGGYATTGGGGGCGTGGCTTTGGGGTCTCTATTTGTCTCTGGAGARTGGAGTCTCTCTCTGCTTCCTGATCACCATGTGAGCTGCTTCCTTCCACCACACTCTCCCTCCAAGAGGTCCTGCCTCCCCTGGAGCCCCGAGGGATGGAGCCTGCTGTCTGTGGACTGAGACCTCGGAAACTGTGAGTCCTGAAATAAACCCTTCCTCTTCTATAATTGCTCTTGGCCGGTCTTTTAGTCACAGCAGCAAAAACACTGATAGAACAACTTCCTTCTGGCCCCTGTGGTTCCTGGGGTCTAAAGAGCTGTTCTTTGAACCGTTTTACTCCTATCTCTAAGTGTCACTCCTCTTGTTCAAGATCTTTGAGCTCTGATTTCAGGAATTTCACTGTGATGTACAGTTTTCTTGGTGTCGTTTCCTTGAGTTCATTCTTTTTGCACTCACCCAGCTTCCTGAATCTGYAGGTTGATTTCTTTTGCCATATTTSAGGAAATCTCAGAGATCGATTCTTCAAGCATCATCTCCCCTCCAGTCCCACCCACTTTCTTTTCCCCGGGGATTCTGAAGACAGCCAACTCTTTTGTCATTGATCCAAAAGTGCTTGAAGCTTTTATTCTCCGTTCCCCTCTCCCTAACTTTCTGTGTTGTTCATATTGGGTGATTTTTTTTGGGGGGGGGTACCCAGGCTGCTTAACCNTGGAGTCTCTCTCTGCTTCCTGATCACCATGTGAGCTGCTTCCTTCCACCACACTCTCCCTCCAAGAGGTCCTGCCTCCCCTGGAGCCCCGAGGGATGGAGCCTGCTGTCTGTGGACTGAGACCTCGGAAACTGTGAGTCCTGAAATAAACCCTTCCTCTTCTATAATTGCTCTTGGCCGGTCTTTTAGTCACAGCAGCAAAAACACTGATAGAACAACTTCCTTCTGGCCCCTGTGGTTCCTGGGGTCTAAAGAGCTGTTCTTTGAACCGTTTTACTCCTATCTCTAAGTGTCACTCCTCTTGTTCAAGATCTTTGAGCTCTGATTTCAGGAATTTCACTGTGATGTACAGTTTTCTTGGTGTCGTTTCCTTGAGTTCATTCTTTTTGCACTCACCCAGCTTCCTGAATCTGYAGGTTGATTTCTTTTGCCATATTTSAGGAAATCTCAGAGATCGATTCTTCAAGCATCATCTCCCCTCCAGTCCCACCCACTTTCTTTTCCCCGGGGATTCTGAAGACAGCCAACTCTTTTGTCATTGAAGCTTTTATTCTCCGTTCCCCTCTCCCTAACTTTCTGTGTTGTTCATATTGGGTGATTTTTTTTTTGGGGGGGGTACCCAGGCTGCTTAACCACATCCCCAGCCTTATTTTGTATTTTATTTAGAGAAGGGTCTCACTGAGTTGCTTAGCACCTCACTGAGTTGCTGAGGCTGGCTTTGAACTCACAGATCCTCCTGCCTCAGCCTCCAGAGCCACTGAGATGACAGGCGGGCACCATTGCACCTAGCACATAGGGTGATTTCTAATTTGTATCTTCAGGTTCTCAGATTCTTTCCTGGCTCCTTTACATTCTTCTGTGGAGCAGCTCCAGGCTACTGAATCCATCTAGCAAGCTTTTCATTTTGGCTACTGTATTTTTTAGCTCAAACATTTCTATTCTGCATATCTTTGCTTTGCTCAGAATTTTTTCCATTTGTTTTAAGCATATCTATAATCGTTYACTGAAACATCTTTATAATGATGGCTTTAAAAGTTTTTTGTTCGCTGATTCTAACATTTCTTTCATCTTAGTATTGGCATCTACAGACTAGCTTTTCCCATTCAACTTGAGATCTTCCTGATTCTGGGTACGAGAAGTGATTTTCTTTATTGACCTGCAGATTTTGGGGTATTCCTTCACAGGACTCTGGACTTTGTACTTTAACTTTCTGGTTTTGTCCCTTTCCCTGACAATACTCCAGAGAAGAAAGAGGGGTGCTACCTATTCCTCCCATGTCCCCTGGCTCTCATGGACAGGGGGAAGGGGAAGGGGATCCTTGCCCCCCTGCACAGGGAGAGCAGTTCCAGCTCCCCAACAGGCCGTGGCGGGAAGAGGCAGAAATAGCTCACTGTTGCTCCCAAAGGGGCCTCCCTGACTATAGAAGGAGGGTGGCCTATCTGCCACTGGATGGAAGTGACAATCTTGCCCCTCCTTTGTGACTCTTCAGAGAACGCCCCAGTGAGAAGGAGCAGGTGACCTCTTCCTGCCAAATGGGGGAAGATCAGGTGCCCGCTCTCCCTCCCGCCAGTCCAGGTGCGGAGGGGGCAGTGCTACTGAGTCGCTTCAACCCGAGGATCAGCTTTCCATGGAGCCTTCTGAAAGCACATGGCAGGAAGGACGTTCTTCTGTCACGCAGACCCAGGGGAGAGGCCCAGGTTCCCAGCTAAACCACGGCTGGGGGTCAGGGGATGGATCGAGACCACAGGTCATTCTAAGTGTGGAACTAGGCAAATCACAGCTGAAGATRTAGCTGTCCTTGGAGGATGCCCTTCTGGTCCTGCGGCTGGAGAAAGCAGGTTTGCATCTCCATTGGTCTTCCTGGCCCACTGTCTACTTCAGCTCCAAGCTGTGGGTAAATGGAATCAAAAGAAAGCCCTGGAAGGCCTACCTGTGGCTCCTCTGATCCTTAGCTCCCGAGGTAGTCAACTGTATCTGTTTCTCTTATGTTTGTTGTCTATATGATGTCCAAAGTGGCTAAGTCCATGTTTGACTTCTGAAAACTTTTTAAAATTTGTTCTTTTTGGCAAACATGACCGTAGAGTATATTTAACATATTATACATACATGGAGTCTAACTTCCCATTCTTGTGGTTGGACATGATGTGCAGTTTCCCTGGTCGTGGGTTCACATAGGAACATAGGAAAGTTCTTTCCCTTCACTCCACTGTCTTTCCTGTCCCCATCCTCTCCCTTCCCCTCATTCCCCTTTGTCTAATCCAATGAACTTTTATTCTTCCCCTGGCTTATTGTGTGTTAGCATTTGCATATTAGAGAGAATATTCAGCCTTTGTTTTCTTGGGATTGGCTTATTTCACTTAGCATGACAGTCTCCAGTTCTATCCATTTACCAGCAAATTCCATAATTTCATTCTTCTTTATGGCTCAATAATATTCCATTGTGCATATATATCACATTTTCTTTATCCATTCATCTGTTGAAGGGCACCTAAGTTGGTTCCATAGCTTAGCTATCGTGAATCGAACTACTATAAACATTGATGTGGCTGTGTCACTGTAAGGTGCTGATTTTAGGTCCTTTGGGTATAAACCGAGGAGTGGGATAACTTGGTCAAATGGTGGTTCCATTCCAAGTTTTCTGAGGAATCTCCATACTGCTTTCCAAGGTGGTTGCACCAATCTGCAGTCCCAGCAGCCATGAGTGAGTAAACCTTTTCCACCATCCTCACCAACATTTATTGTAACTTATATTCTTGGTAATTTCCAGGAGTGAGATGAAATCTCAGTGTGGTTTCAATTTGCAATTCTCTAATTGCAAGAGATGTTGAAAATTTTTCATATATTTGTTGACTGATCGTATTTCTTCTTTCTGTGAAGTGTCTGTTTAGTTCCTTTYAAGCTTGACTTTTTAATGTTCTTTTTAATTCCAATATTTTGGATTTCTCCCAAACTGTAAAACTAGTACACACTTACATATACGCATATGCATAAAACAAGGTAGATCCAATTCTCATAAAATTTAACATGCTACAGAATGTAAGACACTTAAAAAGTCAATAATCTTGATGAATAATTTAGCCAAAAGTACAAATGGTATCTAGAATAATTGAAGAACTCTTAAAACTTAGCCATAAGAAAAGCACAACTGGGCTGGGGTTGTGCTCAGTGGTAGAGCACTGGCCTAGCATGTGTGAGGCACTGGGTTCGGTTCTCAGAACCACATATACATAAATGAATAAAATAAAGGTCCATCAACAGGTAAAAAAATATTTAAAGGAAAAAAAAAAAAGAAAACCACAACCCAATTAAGAAAAAATAAGCAAAGAATGTAATACTTTTAATGCYTAAACATTTTCTTTATATATTATAACATAATCTACGTACACTATAATTTAGTTGTCTAAACCTTTAGGGAAAATACTCCTCAAATTCCTAAGGTACAGTAATTAGGATATTTTGGCTATCATTATGATTTAGATATTAGGTATTCCCTACAATCTCACCTGTGAGACAGTGCAGGAAGGTTCAGGGGAGACATGACTGGGTTGTGAGAGCCTTAACCCAACCAGTGAATGAACCCCTGATGGGATTAACTGGGTGGTGGCTGGAGGAGGTGGGTGTGGCTGGAGGAGGGGGCATTGGGGGCGTGGCTTTGGGGTCTCTATTTGTCTCTGGAGAGTGGAGTCTCTCTCTGCTTCCTGATCACCATGTGAGCTGCTTCCCTCCACCACACTCTTCCTCCATGATGTCCTGCCTCCCCTCGAGCCCCGAGGAGTGGAGCCTGCTGTCTGTGGACTGGGACCTCGGAAACTGTGAGCCCCCAGATAAACTTTTCCTCCTCTACAATTATAAAAGTCAGTCTTTCAGTCAAAAGAGTGAAAAAGCAGACTAAAACACTAAACAGCTATCTTATTTTTATATAAAAAGTTGTTAAGTCGTATAAAACCATAACATCAGTTAAGAGCGATTTCGATTTAATTGATACCTGCAGCTTCCCAGGGAGAGGGTCGGGTAGGGGAATAAAGAGAGGGCGAGGTGGAGGTGGAAAGAATGGTATACTTTACTCTATAAAGTAGACTTCTCCATTTTCGGTATAGGCCATCTCCCAGTTTTGAGGCAGAGGACCTAGATTATCCTCTGCGGAAAGAGGTAGATGCTGAGGGAACTTCTGAGAAGGGTCCGTGATGGGAGCAGCAACGAGGCTACTATTCACAGGCGCAAGAGCTGCTTCTTGGAGAGGGTGCTCGTCCTGGTCCCCAGAATCGGCTGTTGGGTCAGGTCATGGGAAGAGAGAGAGAGAAAGAAAGAATAAGTACAAACACACTCAGCATCAGAACACAAGCCTGGGTTATGTGACACTGTGCACATTTCTTCTTAGCCCTCATCCTTCCCTGATCGCTGGCCATTAAYTASGACTTCTGTTYTGCTTTGACAAATGTTGGATAACAYTYGAATGACCACTCTCGAGAGGTGAGGCTCAGTGTCGGACCACAGGAGCATGTCACTAGCAGGTTTGAGGCCCTAAATTCGACACACACATGCACACGCACACACACATGTATACATACACCCCAACAGAATTTATTTTACATATTAAGAAAGAGGAGCTGGACATGGTGGCGCACACCTGTAATCCCAGAGGCTTGGGAGGCTGAGGCAGGAGGATTGCAAGATGAAACCCAGCCTCAGCAACTCTKCGAGGCTCTAAGCAACTCCTTGAGACCCTGTCTCTAAATAAATTATAAAAACGGCTGGGGATGGGCTCAGCAGTTAAGCGACCCTAAATTCAACCCACAGTACCAAAAAAAAGAAGAGGAGAAAAACATGGCAGATAATTCATCACTCACCRTCTCAGAAATGCCAGAGAAGAAGCCAATTAATAACTCAGACCCGAAAGACTCTTAGACCAAGCAGATCAAAACATGACTAAGACACACTCTCCTWCCGTGGGTACTATTTGGATTGTGACTTGAAAAAAAAAAAGTTCATGGTGAAAACACACAGATCCGGTGGCTTTTTTATAAAAGTTATCTAAAATACTTTTTTGGGTAGCTGCTGGCAAAGATCACAGCTGACACATGAAGCTGGAACGTACATAAAAGTTTAGGATATGGAGACAGCTCTACCAGTGAGTCAGAATGGAGCCTCTTTTAGAAAACCCAAGAGGCTGTTCCTGTGAAAACCAAGACAGTTCACCCCCTGCGGGGTGGCGTGTAGGTGGACTGCTGGGACATGGGTCTCCAAAGAAGGCTCTCAGTGCGTGAGTGTCCTGGCTTCCGATTAACGAGCCACATCCGGGGTGATGTCATCCAAGGGTCCACAAACAGCTCTGCGGACACTCTGGGGCTGAATTTTTATAGAAGCTGATGATAGGAAATGTCAATCTCCGTGGGCCTTGGCGACATAATCATCAGGGGATGTAGCGCTTTTCTATCTCCCGCCGTTCTTCTCTGATAGACATTCCTGCTTTGATGGCAAAAGCAGACTGGAGAATCAGAAAGGACTGTTTTCCAAGCTGTCTTCGATGAGGGCGCCCCAGGAGACCCCTGGGAACGAAGAGTCTCAAAAACAACCACACCTGCCCCAAATCCATGCCCTAGCCCACGTGGCCCAAGAAAACTGATTTAAACCTATCAACCTCCTCCTGGCTCCCAGCTACACTCTTTTCAATTAGGAGTACTGTATCTTTTTTTTTTTTTTTTTTTTGGTAGATGGAAACAATACCTTTATTTTGTTTATTTTGTTTATTTTTGTGTGTGTGGTGCTGAGGATGGAACCCAGTGCCTCACCTGTGCTAGGCAAGCGCTCTACCCCTGAGCCACCACCCCMACCCTTTGTTTTGGCCTCTGATGGTCAAGTTCAGGAACACGTGCTGGATGCAGGGTGGACCCATGAAGGGGACATAGGGAAGTTCTGGCAGAACCGTCAGCCTCTGGATGCTGGGCTTATTTAACTGACAGGTTCTGAAGCTGGTGGCCACATTCCCATTGTAGGCAGTACCTACTGAAGAGTGAAACCCGCATGGAGGAGAGCAGAGATGAAAGGGAGAATGTTCTCTAAGATCCAGGACTGAGCCTTTGATCCGTGTCTGGAGTCAAGGTCACCCCTGTCTTCTTCAACTGCCTGGTTCCCCCACCGAGTCACACCTTCCCGCTTACACCAGTGTGAATGGGTTTTACAACTTGCATGAAAGAGTGCAAATTAGTAGGACAACTATAATTTAAATGAACAAGAAGGAAATTAGGCCAAAACCAAAGAAACCTTTGGRAACTACTCATCAACAACAAAATAAATCCAAAGCCTAGCCATGCTGAAAAGACCCACCCGTAATTCTGTAGAAGCCAACCTACACTCACTCATTTCTGATGTACCTTCTCCAGGGCACACTTTTCACCCTGAAGAGCACATAAGAATCGCCTGGAGAGCCTGTGAAAGTGCRTATTTCCGGCTCCCTACTCGAGAGAAGAGGCTTGGGATTTGTTTCCAAAAATGGGCTTTTGTAAAGCATCCTGGTGATGGAGATTCAGGAGACAGAAGCAGTATAGTCTGAGGAGAGGGATACAAAGAAGTCTCCAAAGAATGCAAAGGAACGTTCCTTGTGTGCAAAGTTCTGACTTTGGTTGGGGCTTGAAGTTGTCATGTTCTAGAAGCCATGGCCAAAATCATGGTTTTTGCTGGAAAGTGGACGGAAAGGGAGAATATCTTGCTCAGTGAATAAGCCAAACTCAGAAACTCAAAGGTGAGAAGGGTGGGGGAGAGTGCTGGGGAGTGACATTGGTCAAATTATACTGTTATGCTGTGTGCTTGTAGAGTATGTGACAACAAATCCCATCATGATGTGCAACTCTAATGCACTC